AATTTGCATATGAGTAGTTGGTGGTCTGTTCCACAATCAGCTCCTGGCCTAGTTTTCACAGCTGATATTGAGCTTCTCCAGCGGTTCTTTCCACAGATGTAATCGATCTGATTCCTATGCATACCATCAGGTGAAATCCAGGTATATAACTTGCGTTTATGTCTTTTAAAAAATGTATTTGCTATGAATAAGTCATTGATTGTGCCAAATTCGATCATTCTCTCTCCAGCTCCATTTCTGTCACTGAGTCCATGTTTTCCAACTATTGAATCTTCTTCTTTGTTTCCAACTTTTGCATTCCTGATTGCATGTTCGATCAATCTCCGATTGTAAAAGTTGGTAAAAATCTTCTATCTCCTCTTCCTTGGCTCTGGTTGTTGGTACATATATCATAGAATATACCTTCTTAAATTATTTGTTCTCCAACTCACACCTTTTGTATAAACAAGGAGCCTTGATGGCATCGTGCATAGCAGCTGCTTACTGAAAAGTTGGCAGTTCAAATGCACTAGCTATTTTGGGGGAAAACACTGGGCATTGTCCTCTCATCAAGGTTTATAGCCCAGAAACTCAGTGGAGAGAGTAGTGTGAGTCAGAACTATACAATGAGTTTGGGTTTGGTTTATTTAGACTTTTTCCCTGTATATTTACTGCTATCACATACATTACATTTTTCTTAAATCACATCATCATCATTATTATTTTTGTTAGATTACTGGAGGTAGGGTGATGGAAATTTTTAGAATTTGGCATAAAGAGTTGTTCCACCAACCCAAAGGCTGGTATTTCAAATTCACCAGTGGGCACCATGGGAAAAGGAAAGGATAGGCAGGCTTCTCCCATGCAGTTTAAAGCCTCTGAAAAATTGATGAAGGGGCAGCTACCAGTCGATTCCATCTCGACAGCAGAGAGCGTGAGAGAGATGGGCACATTACTTTCCAGAGAGTGTGGCACTGCACTGTAATTCCCCCAGGTATGTGCCATCATGTGCCCACAGGAAGTATTGGCTCTGTCGCCGCCTGTGGTATTGGGGATGTGTGACTCACAGAACCTCCCTCCCCTCAGGGTGATCTTTCCCACATAGGAGCTCAGGTACCCAGTTGTGAATTCTGTAAACATCGGTCTGTCTGGTCAGCTTGAACCACCTTAAATAAGTTTATTGATGGGCCACCTCCTGATGCCACCACACCACATTTCTGTCTGGAGCAGGGACACAGATGCCAGCCCCACACCTGCATCTTAGCAGTCCTGCTCACATGTTGGCACCCACCCTGAGAGTATATCTGAAAATGGATCTGCTGCCGACGGAGACTTAAGGCTCTTTCTGGTGTCTAGCCCATGAGCCTACTCGTGTCCTGTGTGCCTTCCCGCCTGTGATGGGCCAGGTCCACAAGAGCATAATGGAGACTGGCTGTAGGCATGCCACATGCACACCTCCATCCTTTTTCTTCTTTTTGCACAGCTCACACGCCGACTGCCGCCAATCAAGGAAGCCAAGCCTCGGCTGCAGAAGCTCTTTCGGGACTTCTGGCTCTACTCTGTCCTGATGGGGTTTGCCGTGGAGGGCTCAGGTAGGGTGCAGGGCTTATTCCCAGGTGAGGTGTGGGGTTCAGGCCCAGGCAGGGTGGGGGACTCAGGCATTGCATGGGGCTAAGGTAGGAAAGGGGGCTCAGGTAGGGCCTGGGCCTCAGGTAGGGTATAGGTTCAGGTAGAGTCAAGGGCTTAAGTAGGATGGATATAGATAGGGGCTCAGGTAGGATGTGAGTAGGACATGGGGCCCAGGTAGGACATGGGGCCCAGATAGGGTGCAAGGCCCAAGTAGGAAGGAGGGTCCCTGCAGGAAGGAGGGCCCAGGTAGGGCGTGGGGCCCAAGTAGGAAGGAGGGCCCATGTAGGGTGCAGAGCTTAGATTGGGTGAATGGCTCAGGAAAGGTGACATACTCTCTTCTGGGCCCACACACTGAGAACAAAAGTGGAAAGGCTCAGTCTAAAAGTGAGAAATGTGAACATGTTCAGAATTATCCCCACCTACCTACTCTTTCGAAATATGGGCCAATGTTTCCCAGAGGCCTTGAGGACCACAGAAATCCCATCTTTAAAGAGAATCCAGCCCCTGTCAGGTTCCAGCTCAGTATTGACACCCCTGTCTGGGTATTAATTTTGTCAGCTGCAATTAAGTTCTCTCCTGATTCATGTGACCCAGTGCACTATAGAACTAGACTGCTGTCATTCATGGGGTTCATTGACTGGTTTTCACGAATAAATAGCCAGCCCTTTCTTCCCTACGCCATCTCAGTCTGGAAATGTTAGTGATACCTGTTGAGCATCACAGCAGTATACAAGCTTCTGGTGACTGCCAGCTGTTGGCTGTGTCTGAGTGCATCAACGCTGGTCTCCTGGATGGAAGACAGAAAAGTTCCCATTGAACCAATTGGCTCAAAGAAGGGTCCACACCACTGGACTCAGGTAGAATCCACTCCATTATGGTTCATGGACACTCAGAAGGTAGAATCCACTCCATTATGGTTCATGGACACTCAGAAGCCTTACGAAGACGGAACTGGTGGTCTGTTTGTACATATCTTCCATCTAGCCTCACAGACTAGACATGCAGTCTGGGTCTCCTTGGGAATGGACTTCCTGCTTGGAAGGGTAGATGGTCAATGAAAGAGAAGAAGGTCCTCCACAAGATGGGTAGACCTAGTGACTGCAGTGATGGGCCTGAGTGCATCAGAGATGGTTGCCCAGGATTGGACAGGGTTCAGATCCATTGTTCATCGGGTTGCTAATAGTCATACTTGACTCGACAGCACCTAAAATCAACAGCACCCCTACAGGGCACTATTCTCTGAGTCATGTGAGGCCACCCCAAGTCTAACTGAGTAGGGTTGGTTCAGTTTGGTGTCATTATTCTGCCACAGGGTGCCTGCTGAGGCAGAAATGTCTATTCTGTTTGATCTCTACAGGGCTCTGGCCAGAGGAGTGGTACGAGGGTGTCTGTGAGATAGCCACCAAGTCTCCCCTCCTCACCTTCCCCAGCAAGGAGCCACTGCGCTCTGTCCTGCAGTACAACTCAGCCATGAAGAACGACACAGTCACGCCGGTGAGAACACATGTCCTGAGTGGGGTGGGGCATCCTACAGTGGGCACATGATGCAGGTGGAGATTTGAGTGCATTTGTTATCCTTGTTAATGCATGTTGTCAAGGATGGTTAGTTACACGGGAGCCCTGCAAAGTGTCTGTCCACCCCCAGGCCGAGCTGAATGAGCTACGTAGCACCATCATCAACCTGCTGGACCCGCCTCCTGAAGTGTCTGCCCTCATCAACAAGCTGGACTTCGCCATGTCTACCTATCTCCTGTCTGTCTACCGACTAGAATACATGAGGTACCCAAGCTCCCCACTCCCTGCATGTCCACACCTGAGCTGCCTTTTTATTTCTTGCCATAGGACTTGACTTCCTCCCAAAATATCTAGATTTCTAAAAAGAAAACAAATACTGGGCTTTTTTTTTCCAAATGCCTCTCTTCATGAGCACCAGCCGTCAAATCTGCAAACCCACAGGTGTCTACACTTGTCATTCTCTCCTCTACAGAGCAGTGTATGCACAGTTGTGCCCAGAGCCATCATAGGACAAGCCCAGGCCCTCCCATCCCCAGAAATTTTGTTGAGTTGGTCTTGCTTAATAGCAGCCAACAGAGACTATAGGACAGGGCACTAATGCCTTCTCAACTCTGCAGGTGATCTGACACATGCAGGGGGGCATTTGTCACCACAGTCATTCTATCAGTGAAAACAGTTGTCGTGATCGTCATTAGCATGACAACACAGCAGCTCACATGATCAGCATGATTGTCTCATACCAGGTACTGTGCTAAGTAAGCCCCTTACCTAAACTCACACCTTCCCCAGAAGCCTATGATGCAGACAACTACAGATAAGAAAACTGAAACCCTGAGGGCACAAGGCAGTACACCTTGACTGAGATTTCAAGCCCACGTTTTCCTCGTTTTCCTCGCTGAGAGGCAATGCTGCTGTGCCGCCTCTTTTAAACCCAGTCTGGGCTGGCCTCCTAGGCTGCAGCCAGTCTGCCGTTACTAGAACTGAATGCTGCACCACAGATCAAGGCCCACTTATGCTTAGTCTGTTTAAAGCATAGAAGAAGTGTAATACATTAAGAATAATGGTGGCCTAGTGGCAAGAAGCTGCACTGCAATCCCAGAGGCGCACGGTTCGAATCCACCAGACGCTCTGCCGAGGAAGGAGGGACAATTTCCTCCTGTACCAGTCAGATCTGATTTGATGGTACACACACATACACACACAAATAATAAAATAAAAATAAAAATTTTTTAAAAAACCAAAACAATAATTTAACAAAAACAACAAATTATAACCTAATTTTATTGTTAATTTATGTTTCAGTGTCTGGAAAATGCAAGGCTCTTAATTATGTGCTAATTAAATCTGTACCTTGGGTTTGGGCCCCTATTTAAAAAGTAGTCCAAATTTCGTTTCAAATTACAGATTCCCAAAGATGTGAATAAAAAATTAAGCAAGATAATTTTTTTTAAAAGAATCATTTCTTTCTAGAAAGGCTTGGAAAGGAATATTTATTGTTAGGTGCCATGGAAACAACTTATGGCAACCCTGTAGATGAAAGATCTGAACCTTGCCCTTCCCTGCACCGTCCTCACTATCTCATGCTCAAGTCACTGTATCAGTCCATCTCCTCAAGGATCTTCCTCTCTTTCACTGACACTCTGCATTTCCCAGCATCATGTCTTTTTCCAAAGACTGGTTCCTCCTGAAACTTGATTTGTATTCCATCAATTCTTGGGACTTTATTTTCTTCAATACGTCTTGGACTTAATAAACTTCCAGTACACTTCGACTTCTTTCTTCAGTACTGTTGGTTCCTTCCTGGAATGCTTTGGTATTGGTTCTTCTCCATTCAGTAACTGTGTATTCCTTCCATCTTCTTTTGATGCTTTCTGGATTATTGAAGACTTTGCCTATACAATTCTTCAGTGTTACAACTCAAGGCTTGAATTTGCTCTTTAGTTCTTCCAGCTTGAGAAATGGTTGTGTGTATTCTTTCCTTTGGTTTCCTAATCCCTGCTTCTTGCACATTTTGTTCTAATAATTTGTCTTGTCAAGCTACCCTTTGACTTGTTCAACTCTTACTTCAGCATTCTTTCCTCTTTCACTTCCTTCCGTTTCAAAGTCGGAGACAAGTTTCAAAGTCTCTTATGACCCATTTTGGTCTTTTCTTGCTTTCTTCATGAATGATATTCTTGATATCATCTCACAATTCATCTGCTCTTTGGACATTAGTGTCAATACATCAGCTTTTTTTTAGTGGTTGTGTTTTTGTTTGTTTTTTTTTCCCCAGACCTATTCTTGAGCTGGCTCTTAAATTCCGTTAGATAGACTTAAGGTTGTATTTTGGTTCTGATGAACTTGTTTTCATTTTATTCACCTTCAGTTTGAACTTGCAATTGATAGTCTGTTTCGCAGTCAACCCCTAGCCTGGTTTTGACTTCCGGTTTTTAGCTTCTCCAGAATATGATCTTGAGTCTATGCCACCTGAATTTCAAAACCATCTCAGGAATTTGAGGCCTTGAACACCAGTGAGCAAAGACCAGATGAGTTCTAGGAGGATATCAAAGGTATCATCCAAGAAGAGTGTAAAATGTCATTACAAAGACAGAGGAGGAAGAAAAGACCAAAATGGATGTCAAAAGAGACTCTAAATATTGCACTGGAGCGCCAAGAAGCCAAAGCAGAAGGAAGAATTCAAGATACTAAAGAGCTGAACAGAAGATTTCAAAAGGCAGCACAGGAAGACAAAGTAAAATATTACCATGAAATGTGCAGAGAGCTGGAGTCAGAAAATCAAAAGGGCCGAACTCGCTCAGCATTTCTTAAGCTCAAGGTTCGGTAATGTATACTGCATTGAAACAGATGAGGGAGAAAACAGTTTAAAAGGGATATGTGATTAGTTATTTTTGTCATGACAGGAGTCCAGAGCGAAGGCTGCATAGAGGAGTGGACCTGGGAGGAGGGATTGTAAAACAATGAAAGAATTTTTCTTTTACTTTTCCAAGAGGGTAGTGTACTGGGGGGGGGGAGGGTTGGGAGGGGAGGAAAGTGCAACAGTGAATGAATGGAAATCCAAAGTCTCTGTACATTTTCATTGAAATTAATAATAAATTTTTTAAAAAAGTAATATGTGAGCATTACAGACATCTTAGAAATAAGTAGGGGGGAGAAAACCCACTGATTTCACCACCGTCTTCTATGTTATTGTTATGTGTTGGCAGGCCAGTTATGACTGACAGTGATCATATGAACAACAGATCTGAACCCTGTCTTATCCTATACCATCTTTACCATGTCTGGCACACTTGAGCCCACTACTGCAGTCACTGCAGACCACCTGGTTGAGGGTCTTTCTTTTGCTAGCCCTGTACATTTCCAAGCATGAGGTCCCTCTCCAAGGAATAGCCTCTCCTAGCAACATGCCCAATATATATGAGATGAGGTTTCACCATCCTTCCCTCCCTCCCAGGAGCACTCTGGCTGCACTGTCTCCAAGATATACCTGTGTTTTCTTCTGGCAGTCCATAGGATAGTCAGCACTCTTCTCCAGCACCACAGCTCAAAGGCATCAGTTTGTCTTCTGTCATCCTTATTCACTATCCAGCTTTCACATGTATAACAAGTATGCATAGCACTATCTCTTATACATATTAATATCATTCCTTCTAGTCTTTTTTTCCCAAAGAATATCTTTTCAGAGAAAACCAAAACAAAGCAAATCACCCAGAGCTTAAAAAGCCTGTGATAGGAGAGTTGTCAGGACTGGCATCTATCTGGACAGGGTGTCCACCAAGGCACTCAGGACAGACTATGCTGAGGGCACTAGCCACAGATAGCTCACTGGAGCCTGTCCTCCTGGGCTGCCCTCCACATCTCTGAGGCCTGCAAACTGAGGAATAGCCTGGGTGGGATTTACTCAGGGACCTAGCTTAGACTCCCAGTCATTGGATTATCAGAAGAACTGTTAGAAAGTCTGGTGGAAAATGTAAGCAGTGCCTCTATGGCTGTGTGCATATGAGCATTGGAGAATGCAGTGGTCAGAGCCACCAGCCTGCTCAGTGTGGACATGGCAACAGACCGTGTGCACATGAGCACTGGAGAATGTCGTGGTCAAAGCCACCAGCCTTCTCAGTGTTGATGTTGCAGTACTGGTGCAACGCTGAGCTTCTGTCCCACTGTCTGAGGAAGCCCATCAGGCATCGTGGCTCACTATGTGTTTCCCTACTTCCTCCTTCCTCACCCTGGAGCGTAAAGACACTTTCTACTGTGTAAGGACTTAAGCCCAGGGTACATAAAACAACACACCTGGAAAGGTGGAGGGTCGGCAAAAGAGAGGAAGACCTTCAACCAGATGAGTTGACACAGTGGCTGCTGCAGTAGTCTCAAGTTTGTCAGAGACTATGAGGATGGTACAGGACAGGACGAAGTTCAGATCTGTTCATAGGGTCACAATGCCATCTAACAACAAAATGAGGAGAGAAAACAGGGATCTCCCAGAACCTACTGCAGGTGGAACATCTCCCCTTCAGCCAGGATTCCCTCCTTCCCATAGTCAAAGCTGCCCACCAGCATCGCCTTTCCTTTGGCTTCTAGAACTTCTCCCTGCACATGCTAACCCAGATGTCCATCACACACACACGCTGCAAACCTTGAGAAACATTGCTCAGGGTGCTGTACTTCTTCACGCCATGAGCCTGCGGAGCTTCTCGTCTCAGCATGTACAGAGCTGCCGCCCATTTTGGCAGCTGGATGATGGGCTATGTCACTGAGTGCGTGTCTTTTGGTTTATCTGACCAGCCTCCTGCAGATGGTGGTTTCATTTGTTCCTGTTTGAGCCTACACAGCACGTCTAATAGCACCCTCCCTGTGTACCACCTCTAACTGCTGCTGGTGCCATTCTGCTAGGTCACCCGACTGTGGATCTTTGTGCTCACTGCCCTCCAGAATGTTCATGTCAGTTTGTTATTGCTGTTGGGCACAGCCCTCGTGGCAACCCAGCTTCATGGTTACCTTGTGCCTGACAGAACAAAATGCTCCTCTACTGGATGCTCCCTGTGACGGTGATGGCTGTGAATCAGACATTGTGGTCTGCAGGGTTTCCGCTGGTTGATCTGAAAGCACAGGGCCTGCCTTTCATCCTAGTTCATCTTAATGTGAATTAGTTTATTCCTCATCAGACCAACACACAAGCCTCAGTTGGCAAGCACATGGTGACTTGAACATCAAGTACATCATCAGCCAGAAATCCAACCTTGTTTCCCACGTAGAAAACAAGAATTATCCCACCAAACTAGTTCCAATTTTCTTCACTTGTGTATATTCTTGTTAGGGTGCTGCATTCACATGCTCAAGTGTCTTCTCTTTGTCGGGGTGCTGCATTCACATGTTCGGGTCTGCTCCTGTTGGAGTACTGCATTTATTTGCTCAGATGTCTTCTCCTTGTTGAGGTGCTGCATTCACATGCTCGGGTCTTCTCCTTTGGAAACTGCTCACACACTCAGGTCTCCTCTTTAAGGATTTTGTCTCTTCACTCAAATTTGTTCTTTTTGTTAGGGTTCTGCGCTCAACAGACCCCGATCGATTCCAGGTGATGTTCTGCTACTTTGAAGATAAGGCTATTCAGAAAGACAAATCAGGTAAGCTTATTACAGCACCTCAGAGTAAACTAGACTGTAGTGGATACTTGTCAAGGATATTTGAAAAAAGAAATGGCACTCCCTGTTTTCTGTCTACTTAAGGAAACAGTTCTAGGAAATTATAAGTTTTGTTGGAAAGAAAGATGGGTATAAAATGCATATGCTTAAAATGAAAACCATCTTTCTGACTGTGCCAGCGCCAAGAGGCTACATAGCAATGCTGCTGCCCCTTGGGCCACCATCCGCTTCCCTTTGCACCAAGCACCTGGCCCTGGAACCTCTTGTTGTCACCTTCTTTTTCAGAGTCTTTCTCATTGCCTTCAAGCCGGAACCTACTCAAAGCTGACTTTCCAGTGAGTTTTTAGAGGCTGTAACTTACACAGGACGTGACTCCTCTCTTTCTCCTGTGGAGCAGCTGATATATTTGAACTCCCTGGCTTTGGGTTGGCAGCACAGCTCCTAACTAGGCTACTCCCAAAGCTTCCTCATCACAAGGGAGCAGTTATGTCTATCAGATGTCAGGAGTGGATAGAAACAATCAAGAATCCAATTTAAATGGACTCCCATCCCAGTAGGGGAGTTGTCACACTGTGACCAGGAGTACAGTATTTTATCCCCATCTCAGGTAACTGAAACAGGTTTATTTTGCGAAAGAAATGAGTTTGTAATTCTTCTCACCCTACCCCTAAAAAAGGCAAAGTTTATTATAAAATGTACAAGAAGATAGTTCTAGTTACAAAGAGAAGAGTGATTATACTGGGAAATCATTCATTTTCATTTCTTCCACTAAGTGTTTGTATGCATAGCCATATAGTTGTCTCTCAGACAGGCTGTGAAGGAGCCATACAGTAGTGAAGGGAGAGGTCCTCTCTCAGCAGAGAGGAACAGGCACCCCCGTACCAGTGAGTGACTAGATAGGAAGGGTCTCACAGATAGATACGACCCTTAGTGCCCTATCCCTTACCTGTGAGAGGACATCATCCTCCATGTTGACCCAGCTGGCTGATGAGATCCCAGCCAGGCCTGGAGATGGTTTCAATGGTCATTGCAGACCAGGCCATGGTGCCACGATCTCTGAGCCATGTATTTCATCTCAGGGCTATTTCAGGATGTAGGAACTCAACATGGAACACAGATCACAGTGCCCCTCCCCCCCCCAGCACAGCTTGTCCTCCGGTCCTACGTACTTCACGTCTTGCCCTCAACCAAGATTGTCCAGCTCCCGGATAGACATGGTCAGCAAAGCCCATAAATGCCTTGGAAGAAAGGCCTGGCTGTCATCTTCTAAAAATGTAGCCAGGGAAACCCTTCAGAACCTAATAAAGATGCATCTAGAGGATGTTTTGCTAAATCGGAAAGTCATTTAGGAAGAACTGTTAAAAGACCAGTGCTGTGAAGCAAAGGAGAGATTTACACATAAATAGAATGATCTTTAGATAATCACCAGAATGGAAAGGAGAGTGGCAATTCATAAATAGTTAAGTTGGGTGAAGAGAAAGGAAATGTGTAATAAAGGTTTGATCAGACCTTGTTGCGTGCCCTTGAGTTGCCTATGACTCATAGTGACCCCTATGCACAGAAGCTCTAAACCCTGGCCTGTCCTGAGCCAATGTCACTGTCTCCAACATGCCTATCCCCATTACCCCAGTAACTGTGTCAATCCATCTCATCCAGGGTCTTCCACTCCTACTCTGTCCCTCCACGTTTCCAAGCGTAATGTCTTCTCCAAGGACTAGGCTTTCCTGGAAACATGCCCAAGGGTTGTGAGATGAAACTTCAGCATCCTTGCCTCCAAGGAGCAGCTTGGTTTCATTCACTCTCTCTAGAACAGACCTGTTTGGTTTTTTTGGCAGTCCATGGAATGTTCGGGACTCTTCTCCAGCACCACAACTCTAAGGCATCAATTCTTCTTCTATCATCCTTAGTCATTGTCCAGCTTTCTGGTACATAGCAAGTAATTGCAAAGACCATGGCTTAGTTCAGGTACACCTTTATCTCTAGACTGACATCCTTACTCTTCAGCACTCTGAAGAGGTCCCTGACAGCAGATTTTTCCAATGCAATTCATCTTCTGCTTTCCTGCCTGCTGGTGCCAGTGTTGATTATGGAACTAAGCAAGCTGAAATTGTTAACAACCTCAATCCCTTCTCCATCTATCGTTGTGCTGCCATTTGGCCCAGTGATTAGAATCTTTGTCTTCTTGATGTTGAACTTCGATCCATATTGCAGCCCACAATTCTTGACCTTTGTCTCAAAGTCATATGTCCCAGGTTCTCCTCAGTTTCAGCAGGCAAAGTTGTTGATGAGTCTTCTCCATTCCTAGAGCCGCCGCATGCCTCCTGAATGATCTATTCTGCATATAGATTGAAAGGGTATGGAGATAAGATGCATCCCTGAGATACACCTTTTCTGAATTACTGTTGTGTTCTGTCAAGTCAGAACCAACCCATAGTTGACCCTCTAATGGATTTTCAGAAGCACTTAACTCACACAGGAGGAGAGTAACCATCTTTCTACCATGGAGCAGCTGGGGGATTCGAACCACATGCCTTTGGGTTGCCAAAACAGCTTACCACTAGGCCATCAGAGCTCTCAGTTGATTAGCACGGTTTTACTTTAATACACACAGAGTTATTACCATGAGTGCTAACTGACTGAATAGTAACTGTTGGTTGCAAAATGAATTAGGTTATTTGAAACCCTAGCAAGGAAAACCTAAGTAATAAGAACAGGAATGAAAAGAAGAAATAATAAAATAAGCTCCTGTATTCCTCAGAGACATCATGCTTGGAAAGGTGAGCTTCAATCCATATTGAAGATTACAGTTCTTGACTTTCTGCAACAATCCAGTAGCAAACCCTAATTCCACAAAGAAGAATAGCTTTTTAGCAGAAACTTACTCTAAAACTGCTGCCTGAAACTGGTGTGTTCTTAGTGTGTTTGCTCTTAGAAACTCAGTCTTTGGGATTGTGAAACTTCTCACATACATCCTCTGGGGCATGTTGTCAGAAGGGCTGCTCCTTGAAAGGGGGGTTGGGGCAGGGGAAGACGCTCAACGAGATGGAATGACACAGTGATTGCACCCGTAGGCCAAGGCATACCAGGCTTTGTGAAGATGGCATAAGATGAGGCAAGATTTAAATGTGTTGTACATAGGATCACTGTGAGTGTGCGCATGCACGCACACTTACACAGAGCTTCCTAGGAAGGCAGATTTTCTCTGACATTGGTGTAGGCTGCATGTATCGTTCTCCTGCCTCTGAGACCTGTACTGGAACCCATTCACTTGTAGTGGAAAGACAGCAAATACTTACTCTTGCTTCACACTCGATGCAAGGCTCAGGGACACGGAAGTGCTGATACCTGCCTCATCACTCTTGTCCACGGTGACCTTCCAATCCTGCATTTACCTGTCCAGTAAAGGGATGGCTTGGTGGTAAGGAGCTTCACTGCCAGCCCAAAGGCCCGAAGTTCTAAGGGGAAGGGGAAGTGGGCAGTCAACTCCCATGTAATTTACCTGCCTCTGAGAACCCACTGGAGGGTCAGCTATGGGTCAGTTCCAAGCCAAGGGCACACAACAACAAGTAAAGGGAAGAGAGGCACTAGTGACATAGGCAGTTGCACTGCTAATCTAAGGTGATGCTTCTGGCAGTTCTAATCCACCAGCAGCAGCTCCAGACAAAGATGGGTGATCTCCTATGTGATTTACAGGGACAAGGGAAGCTATGAGTCATTCTACCTGGGCAGTGGTGAGACTTTGGGGGGGTTGGTTGGTTGTGTTTTGTTTCTTAGCAAAGGCAAAGGCCTTGGGTAGCACAAACGTTTAATGTGTGTGACTGCTAATTGAAAGACTGAAAGTTTGAGTCTACCCAGAGAATCCTTGAAAGAAATGCCTGGCTTTCAGCAGCTCAGACCCCTTGTCGCTGAGCTTTGCCATGAGGCCTGTGGGGTTGGCTTAAATCGGAAATAACTGGATGACGGCTGGCCGCTGCCTTGACTTCAGCTGAAGATGTGGAGAGACCAGAGCGTACTGGAAGCGGGCCTCTCACTTGCACTGAACCCTGGTAGGGCCCTATTGCTTTTTAAAATGAGCACATTCGGTCCCTGGAGCTGCTTTCTTAAATGTCCAATGAAAGGATTACAGGTTCCCTGGAGGGCCACAGCTGGGAAATGCAAGATGTGTCAGCAAACAAACAAGTGAGAACATAGCCCCAGGTGAAAACCAGAGAGCACCCCCCAATTCCCCAAGGCTGAAGGAACCACACAAGGATGGTACTAGATCATGACCTACAGACCAAGGTACATATCCATGAGTCCACGCTGGGATTACCAAAGTGGGGAGGAAGAGACAGACCCTTCCTGGAATTCTAGTTCCTGACTTAGTGGGAGTGAGAGAAGAAAAGCATCCTCCTTCAGCTCACTGCAGGCAGCACCCTGTGGAAGACTAAAGCAGGGGATGAAAGTGTAGAAGCAGCCTCCAGAGAGTGATCTGCTATGGTGGTAGTCTGGCATCTGTCCACAAGTGCTCCTGAGGAGGTGACATGAACTGTAGGGGCAGTCTTGTAAGGCACAGTGCTGGAGAGGGAGAAAAAGGAGCATGTGGCAGTGGAGACAGCTGCAGACCCACAGGCACCCTCCAGGCACCAGACGATCCATCCTGAACTCCTGACAACAGGAGATAACCAGAAGGGGCACGAAACCTATGTACCATTCTTTCTCAGAATCTGTGTTTTCTGTTTTGGTGATTGTGAGGCGCTGTCAAGTCGAGTATGACTCATGGAAACCATGTGAACCATTAATCTGAACCCTGTCCTATCCTATGTCATTCTCATTGTCTCTGACACACTCAAGCCCATTCCTGCAAGTCACTGTGCCAGTCCACCTGCTTGAAGGTCTTCCTCTCCTTCACCAACTCTGCATCTTTCCAAGCATGGAATATAAATTCCACTCCAAGGAATAACTTCTCTGCAGTATACCCCAAGGTATGCAAGACAAAGCTTTATCACCTTTGCTTCCAAGGAGCACTCTGGCTGCACCTTCTTCAAGACATTCTTTTGGCCACAAACATCTATAACCTTCATCAGATCATGACATTCTACAAAATGTGTTATTTGAGGGTATAGGAGTAAAATAAGCCCTAGAACTGTCACAGATTGGAGGAGGCTAAGAAGACAGGACAACTGCATTCTTGGCAGAAGAGAAGCATTAGCGGAGAAACGATACCTGTGTCATAACAACATCTGACCAGCACACCAGGGTGATGGAAGGAGTTAACAGTGCGGGAACCGAGTGAAGCCATGTGGTGATACTTCCAGAAGCCGAAAGCAATTCCACAGTTAAATACCCAAGCCTGAATGTGAGTGCCTTCTGCTGGTGCCTCCCTCCAACTGACTAGATGCCCCCCTCTTGTTTTAGGGATGATGCAGTGTGTGATTGCTGTCGCCGACAAAGTGTTCGACGCCTTCCTCAGCATGATGGCAGACAAAGTAAGTTTCGTCTGAGCCACGGCCGCATCCCTGGGGTGCCTGCAGGGCATGTAGCATGCTGTCTTTTCTCAATGTCTAGGCCAAGACCAAGGAGAATGAGGAGGAGCTGGAGCGGCACGCACAGTTCCTCCTTGTCAACTTCAACCACATCCACAAGCGGATAAGGCGGGTGGCAGACAAGTACTTATCAGGCCTGGTGGACAAGTGAGTCCTTCCTGCTTCTAGGCTCTGTGGGATCGGGAGTGGGCGTGCGGGTGTGCACAGGAGTGTCTTTGAGAACATGGGGGAGTGAAAACTTCTACTCTCTGTGGGGTCTGTAGTGAGGGTGAGGGTGTACACAAGAGTGTGTACACGAGAGTGTGTGAACATAGAGTTGGAAACACTGCTGCTGGGCTCTGTGGGGTTAGTGGACGTGAGGCTGTGAACAGGAGTGGGGGGGTGAATACTGCTTCTACACTCTGTGGGGTCTGCGGTGCGGGTGCTTGGGAGTGTGTCTGAACTTGTTTGTGGGTAGGTATGAACACTGTAGCTACTCTCTGTAGGATCTGCACCTGGGGTTGGAAAATGTGAATAGAGTCTGCAGTGGTGGTGAGGCTGTGCCTAGGAGTGTGTGTGAACACTGCCTCTGCACTGTGAGGTCTACAGTGGGGATCTGTGAGTGTGGGGTGTGTGTAAACACTGCTTCTGTTCTCTGTGAGGTCTGCATTGGGGTCTGTGAGTGTGTGGGGTGTGAACACTGCTTCTGTTCTCTGTGAGGTCTGCCGTGGGGGTCTGTGAGTGTGAGTGGGGTGTGAACACTGCTTCTGTGCTCTGTGAGGTCGGCAGTGGGGGTCTGTGAGTGTGTGGGGGGGGTGTGAACACTGCCTCTGCTCTGTGAGGTCTGCAGTGGGGTTCTGTGAGTGTGGGGGGGGTATTAACACTGCTGTGCACTGTGAGGTCTGCAGTGGGGGTCTGTGAGTATGTGTGGGGTGTGAACACTGCCTCTGTGCTCTGTGAGGTCTGCAGTGGGGGTCTGTGAATGTGTGGGGGGGGTGTGAACACTGCCTCTGCTCTGGCAGTACAGGGTACATTCAGTACTCTTCTTCAGCACCACAGCTCAAAAGCATCCACTCTCCTTCTGTCCTCCCTAGTCATTGTCCAACT